GGGGGGGGGGGGGGGGTCCCATAAAATAGATCGATGTCGTAACTTGAAAATTCAAATACCTACTGTATACCCAGATGTACCTAACTTATGGAATAAAGGGTTCCAATAAAATCATTTGAGTAAAGGGTTGGGGAAGGGCGTAGAAATCGGAAGATCCATACATTTTACCACACAAAAAACAAGTTGTTTATGGATCAGTCATCCTCATAACAAGCAGCCTTAAGTAAGTAATCAATCAATCAATCAATCATCATAATCAGCAGCAAAAGAAACTTTCGGCCGCTACGGAATAAAAACGAAATGGCATGTAGCATTTAACTATATTTAACAGGGGGCGCCCAAACGCATTACAGGGGCGCGACCTAATGCCCGAATCTTGCAACACGTGCTGGTTCTAAGCGCACCCCAATTATGGGACAGGCAAAATTAACTATATGTTGACTTGCTGGGTCCTTGACATGTCCACCTCTGGCAGTTTGTGATATCTAGAACCAGGGCGCGTTGTCGTCTAACGTAGAAAAGTCATGATGCGACCAAGTCACAAACATTTTGTTGGTAACAAAAAAAATGACACAATTACAGTACTTGAATGTAATACCGTGTAGAGCTAACGGTTCTCTTTCTTTCAGTAGGTATCCAAGGGGAATGAGTGGGTGAGTCGATGGCTGCAATTACATTGCCGATTAGGGTGATTTGATTCACTTGTTGCTTGTTAGTTGTTTTTTAGGGGGGGGGGGGCGGTAGGAGACGCGTGTTGGGGGCAGGGTGTAAAGACATATTTTTTTAAGTTGTTACATTAAAAGAATATAAAAAATAACAACACAGTTGACCCAAACCTGGGGACGCCTCTGGTGATCTCATACGAGATCTAAATGAATTGTGAAAGCTGATGTTTCTCTACCATGCTTGTTTCTGAGACTCTAAACGGTGGTCAGTCTGCTTCTGTTGTCATTCTGCTATTGCATTTGTTTAGGTCGCTTGTCGTGCAAGCCACAATAATGTCAACCGCTCATCTGTTCATCACATGTATGTATTTGTAGGTAGCTATAATAAAGCCTAAAGGAAACACTAATGGCATACAAGATTCTTTAATTCTTTTTTTCCTTTATTGATTTAGTTTTAAAATAGAAAGAGGCGGGGGAATACACAAAATAAAGAACGTGACAAATTTAACTAATGTGACTAATGTGACTAATGTGACTAATGTAACTAATGTGACTAATGTGACTAATGTGACTAATGTGACTAATGTGACTAATGTGACTAAACTACTGACTTGATTAATTGAAATCAAACGATTATGTGAGATCACCTGCCTTTTAGGAGCCCAAACCAAACGGTAGGAGGTTAGACCAACTATAGAAGGTTAAACCAAACGGTAGGAGGTTAGGCCGACTATAGAAGGTTAAACCCAACGGTAGGAGGTTAGACCAACTATTGAAGGTTAAACCAAACGGTAGGAGGTTAGACCAACTATAGAAGGTTAAACCAAACGATAGGAGGTTAGACCAACTATAGAAGGCTAAACCAAACGGTAGGAGGTTAGAACAAACGGTAGGAGGTTAACCCAAATGGTGGGAGGTTAAACCAAACGGTGGGCGGTTAAACCAAACGGTGGGCGGTTAAACCAAACGTTGGGAGTTAAACGGTTGTAGGTTAAGTTAGAGGTTGGGGTTAAACTAAACGATTGTGGGTGGAGTTTGAAGTAAACGGTTGTAGGTTAGACTAAACGGTAGGGGATTGAGCTAAACGATTACAGGTTCTATTTAAGGGTCTTAACCAAACTGCATGGCGCTAAACTAAATGGCAGGAAGTTAAACTAAATAATAAATAAGACCATCAACGAAAATGCTGTTTTCTTTTAACCTAAGACAATGCGCTTCAAAGGGAAATATTTACGAACAGCAACTCGGAAATTAAAAGCAGCTTCTCTCGCCCTTCGCAAGACACAATGACGTCAGTTTGCCTTTCAAATTGAGAATTTTAAAAGCTGGCTAATTTTTCAATTATATAAACACAAAGACGAAGAGATTAGCAGGCAAGTCCGGTTTGTGTTCACGCCACATGGCGTTCATGTATTGTGCTAAAAAAATGAAGTCTCAGTTGAGAATAAATAAGTCTCTTCTCAAATGTTGTCACATTAAAAAGGAAGTTGTTAAAAAAAAAAAAGTTATGAAATAATGAATTGTTTATCATGCTGAGTTAAGAATTTAAAGGAATAATGTCACACTGTTTTTACAAGACATTAAAGTCTGTCGTTGATTGCAGACTTAATTTTCGTTTTAAACAGTATCTGTAAAAGGGTAGTAGGAGCAGATCAAAGCAAAATATGCTGTAAACATTTGAAAAACACACTCAAGAACTAAAATAATTCAGATGGGTTTTTTTGTATCACACACAAAAAATGTAATTTCTAAACCCTTCAAAAATACAGTGTTTTATATTTGACCTAGTTTTAACAAGGCAGTAGAGACTTAGGGACACTAACCAGGGAAAGACACTAACCATGGGCAGACACTAACCAGGGAAAGACACTAACCAGCGAAATACACTAACCATGGGCAGACACTAACCAGGGAAAGAAACTAACCATGGACAGACACTAACCAGGGAAAGACACTAGCCATGGGCAGACACTAACCAGGGAAAGACAGTAACCATAGGCAGACACTAACCAGGGAAAGACACTAGCCATGGGCAGACACTAACCAGGGAAAGACACTAACCATGGGCAGACACTAACCAGGGAAAGACTAGCCAGGGGCAGTGAGGCCAATTAATGAGATAATAAAGTTCATCCCTAGCTGGGGCCAGATTAAGAAATTGGAAACAATGGATATAACTTGGTTCCTTTCTAATACTTCTGCAGAACTATTACAGAGAAACCCAAAACAATGTCTTTGGGGAGGCCCTAATTTTGAATTTTTTTTTTTAGATGGACAAAAATATATGTACTTGGATGGCTTAAAATGTATGCACTTGGATGGCCCAAAATGTATGGACATGGATGGCCCAAAATGTATGGACATGGATGGCCCAAAATGTATGCACTTGGATGGCCCAAAATGTATGTACTTGGATGGCAAAAAATGTATGCACTTGGATGGCCCAAATGTATGCACTTGGATGGCCAAAATGTATGTAGTTGGATGGCCCAAAATGTATGGACATGGATGACCCAAAATGTATGGACATGGATGGCCCAAAATGTATGCACTTGGATGGCCCAAAATGTATGCACTTGGATGGCCTAAAATGTATGTACTTGGATGGCCTAAAATGTATGCACTTGGATGGCCTGAAATGTATGCACTTGGATGGTCCAAAATGTATGGACATGGATGGCCTGAAATGTATGCACTTGGATGGCCAAAATGTATGTACTTGGATGGCCCAAAATGTATGTACATGGATGGCCAAAATGTATGTACTTGGATGGCCAAAATGTATGCTCTTGGATGGCCTAAAATGTATGCACTTGGATGGCCCAAAATGTATGCACTTGGATGGCCTAAAATGTATGCACTTGGATGGCCTAAAATGTATGCACTTGGATGGCCTAAAATGTATGTACTTGAATGGCCTAAAATGTATGCACTTGGATGGCCTAAAATGTATGCACTTGGATGGCCCAAAATGTATGGACTTGGATGGCCTGAAATGTATGTACTTGGATGGCCTAAAATGTATGCACTTGGATGGCCAAAATGTATGTACTTGGATGGCCCAAAATGTATGGACATGGATGGCCTGAAATGTATGCACTTGGATGGCCAAAATGTATGTACTTGGATGGCCCAAAATGTATGGACATGGATGGCCTGAAATGTATGCACTTGGATGGCCAAAATATATGTACTTGGATGGCCCAAAATGTATGTACTTGGATGGCCAAAATGTATGCTCTTGGATGGCCTAAAATGTATGCACTTGGATGGCCCAAAATGTATGCACTTGGATGGCCTAAAATGTATGCACTTGGATGGCCTAAAATGTATGCACTTGGATGGCCTAAAATGTATGCACTTGGATGGCCCAAAATGTATGCACTTGGATGGCCTAAAATGTATGCACTTGGATGGCCTAAAATGTATGCACTTGGATGGCCTAAAATGTATGCACTTGGATGGCCTAAAATGTATGTACTTGGATGGCCTAAAATGTATGCACTTGGATGGCCTAAAATGTATGCACTTGGATGGCCCAAAATGTATGTACTTGGATGGCCAAAATGTATGTACTTGGATGGCCCAAAATGTATGTACTTGGATGGCCAAAATGTATGTACTTGGATGGCCCAAAATGTATGTGCTTGGGATAGCCAAATATTCTTTGCATGGGTTGGTTAAATAAATTTTTTCTTGGGGTGCTAGAAAGTTTTTTACCCATTCATGTCTCCCTTATGTGTTTTAAATAACATGCTTGACTTATCAGCAGTAGGCTTAAACTATAGGTCAAATAAGAACAAAATGGATCTCAAACAGTTAAAAAAAACAGTTTTCACATGGCATTGCTATAACTGCTTTTCTTGAGGTCAAGATGAAACAAAGTCTGGGGTTCTGAAAAAAGGGGAAGTTGGCCGAAGGGTGAGAGCAAGAAGAGTTATGAAATAAATGGCACTCACATTCGTCTCTGAACCTTGGCTCTGCGTTGGGCCCACAGCGTGCAAACGTGCGGATGAGTTCCACATGGACGGCATGCTGGTCTCTGTATATGGGCTCGTCAAAAAACATTTGAAGCTGCATGTAGACTCTGTCCAGAACCTGGGCCATAAATATAAGGGCTGTCATAATACTGACACAAGCATAACTGAATATTTGAATCGGCAAAAGTATGTATTTAGCAAATATATGAATTCAGAAAAAATTTGAATTTAGCAAAGATATGAATTCAGCAAAGATATGAACTCAGCAAAGATAGGCCAAGAACATTCACGACAAGAGTTTAAGGAACATTGTTAAGTTTCTCTCAAAACATTTAACTGAAAACAATTTTTTTTTTTATAGTTGAATAATCAATTGTATATTTCAGAGATTATTAGCTGTTTTGCTCAAAGAGGTAAAAGGATAAAGATAATGCCAAAATATTATTTTTTATCAAGTTTCTCCAAAGAATCAAATACTATAATTTGTCTTAGAGAGTCTTCTTTGTATCATTTAAGACTTATTTTAGATCACTACTGTTTTGTTAGGGTTTTTTTTCTTCTGATAATCACAAATACTGACAGAATTACACATTCTACGAGTGTTATGCACACACTTTCCTAATATTAAAACAAATTGAATTGTCAGCATGCACCCTCCAGAGAATTAACTATCCAAAATGGCTTGTGGGCAGCTTGGGGAGAGCCCAAGGTGAAGTCAAAAGCCTAGCAAAATATGCAACAGTCTTGTGCCCAAAGCAGCATCATTACATAATGACAACTACTGTCTTCTCTGTAACTTTTCTTCATCTACTAAAGTGGCTTTGGTCCTCCTCTTGTCACAGCAGGGAGCCCACACCATGTGGATAACCTCAGATCTGGGTCTCTTCTTTACAAAACCTGAACATTTTTATAAGGCCCAACAATACCTGACGCTTCAGTTTTACAGACTCACAGCAGATGAAATGACCTGATAATTTTAGATTGCCATTCTTCATCTCAATGAAGAACTCCCAGAATTTGCTAAAAACTCTGCACTTTACATAAATATAATTTTAAACCAAGTTTTCTTACCTCACGTATTGTTATGTTCTCTATAATGACTCCAAGAGATGGAATGGTTGCAATACGAACAGATCTGAAACATAACATCAGGTGAGGCACATTTAAAGATGATAATATCAAATTATATGATAGCTTACATTTTAGTAACTGAATATAAACCAGAAGTCTAGATCCCTTATCAAATAATTTGCCATCATGTAAGCTAAATAAAAGTGTTACCCAGATTTATTCCACTTTGCTCCCCACATTAAAAAAACACAACCACCAGCCCACCACATTAAACAAGCCACAACCACCAGCCTACCACATCAAATAACCCAAAACCACAAGCCCACCCCAACAAACAACCCACAACCACAAGCCCACCACCTCAAACAACCCACAACTACTGACACACCAAATCAAACAAGCCACAACCACCAGCCCACCACATCAAACAACCCACAACCACCAGACCACCGCATCTAACAACCCATAACCACAAGTCCATCACTTCAAAAAAAACTAAAATTCACAGTCACATTCTGTTTATTATCGATGAATTCTGAGGGAAGATATCATTTATATAAATTTAATAGACCAATAGTGAAGTGTGTTTTAGATTAAATTTTGATTAGTTGATAATTTTTAACAATTTTTAGTTCGAAAGTGTAACTTATTAGGGGCGGGGGATTTTTGACAGGAGGTATGATGTAAAGAAATCCAAAAATAGCGTGACATACTTTGTGGACAGCCCCGAATCAGAACAAATAGAATGAGGATCTGCATTTTGTTAGACGTGGTGAGGTACTTAAAACATGATACTCATGATTCAGACTCTTTCAACTTGTGTGCGCAGTCAGCAATAAAAGACATACAACAATAACAAAACTTACATTTCCTGGTCATTTGATAGGGTGACCAGGGCTGGGACAACTCTGGAGGAGACAAGAGAATCATTCACTCCCTTGATCATCAGCTGTAACAAATACAGTATGAACACAAGTGTTGTAAATGTGATGGGGGAAAAATAGCTTGGAAAGTCCATCAATTGGTTAAAAAAAAAAATTTAAAATAAACATGCATCTCCTTTTCAATATCTGTAGCAATATCCTCATTTATTAATAATAATCAAACTAACTAATTTGAGTTATTTAGATAGTTAAGTGGACTTGTAAACATTTTTTGAAGGGAATGTTTGCTTTTTCTTAGTTTAAAACATGATCACAGGTTTTCAAAAGCATTCAAACTTTTCTTTTCCATCTAAAGCTTTCTGGACTTTTTTGTTTGATTTCTCCCTATTTAACAGGATGGGGTACAGAGAACAAACAAGTGCTTTGAAATGCAGGGTTTAGCGTTTTAGGTGAGGAATAAAAGTCTTAGGGTTCAAGGATAGTTTTTTTATCTCACAATTTAGATGAAATGAGATTTGCTGGCATCCTTCCTATTTGTTTCTAGCAGTGCACCACCATCACTCTTCTGTGTTCTAGCAGTGCACCACCATCACTCTTCTGTGTTCTAGCAGTGCACCACCATCACTCATCTGTGCTCTAGCAGTGCATCTCCATCACTCTTCTGTGTTCTAGCAGTGCACCACCATCACTCTTCCGTGTTCTAGCAGTGCACCTCCATCACTCTTCTGTGTTCTAGCAGTGCACCACCATCACTCATCTGTGCTCTAGCAGTGCATCTCCATCACTCTTCTGTGTTCTAGCAGTGCATCTCCATCACTCTTCCGTGTTCTATCAGTGCGCCTCCATCACTCTTCCGTGTCCTCGCAGTGCACCACCATCACTCTTCTGTGTTCTAGCACTGTAGCTCCATCACTCTTCTTTGGGTCTACTGCCTCTTGAGGTGCCACATTCAGTTCATATTTATATTCAATTGCATACTTGAATATTGATAACTCTATTTTCGTCCATTACGGAGGGAAGACAACTAACATGTTCCCGTCTAGAAAATGTCGGTCAAAGGTTGGGGTTTTTTTTTAAACTTTTTTTCCATTACATGGGCCACTGACCTCAAACAAAGCTGCTGCAACAGCCCTGACTTGGGCTGATGAGTGGACCACACCATCCCACAGGACAGACAGAAGGAGCTCATGATTAGCTGGATTCTCACTGCAACAAAGTACAACAAGGATTAGCCGAAACGTCTTCAGTTTATATTCTGTGCTTTAATGAAAGCTGAACTAAGCCAAAATGTCTTTACTTTGTGTTCTGTCTTTTAATTAAAGCCTACCTATCCATTTTATTGCACAAAATTTGTTTGTGTCTAATTAATCTACTTAAAAGCCATTATCACAGTGCAGCCCTCTAATAAATTAATTATCAAAAACTTTTGTGGTTTTAAACAAAAAATTTAATTTTTGGGTGTGAAATAAAGATGTCCTGTCTTTCAGGCAAGAATGGGTGACACCATCTAACGATCTGATTGAACTGTCTGGCAGTTTCACACAGACTCACCTGAGCTCAATAAGTGTTGCCCTGAGACTGTCCAGAGAAGTTTGGCAAAAGGCTAATGTGCACAAAACTCTGCTTAAGAACTGACTCAGCTGGGTCTTGTCTTCCTCCTGCATCAGAAGAAGTTTTGAGTTAACCACAACAGCAACGTCACAAATAATTTGTTGGGTGGGAAAGAGTGGGATGGTGGGGTGATAAATACAAGATATACAGATGTTAAAGAAGGTTGTACACTTTGCTAATCTTGACTTGAAACATTCAGGATTAAAAACTCTTTTGGATTTCTGGCTCAATATTTATTATTTGTCTTTCTAGTTTTGTATTTTGTCTGCTCATTTGGTATTTAGCCAAAGCATCGTTTCAACTGTTCTGTCTTTTTTTTAAGCGTAAAAAATATTTATTTACTTGACAGGGCTTGAACACAGTCCCCAATATACTACCAAATATTCACACAAGAATATTGTAATTAATGGTCTTTTGGTCATATTTATTATTTTATTATTTATGGCATGGGGCTGTTGTGGATTTAATTATATCACTGAGTAAACACACAAGAATATAATGGTTCCCTAAGCATGATGATGATAGATGACCTTTTAGCAATTCACTTCATTTCCTGTAGAAAGTTTTTAAATATGGGATGTTTGCGCACAGTAAAAGAATGTTTTCTCCTTTTCAAAGCCCTTTTGACAAGACATAATTGATGTTTAATAAAAGAAACTGGGATCAGAATTGCAGAGTTGGAATTGTAAAGCTTCACATTTTTGTTGGCAATGTCATAAGCCACAGAATTTTATTTATAAATCACAATTTTAAGATATCAAAATCTTCCAGCAAATAGCCATTTCAGATTTTCATGTATCAAAATATTTTTTACTTGTACTGATTTAACATCCCCATATGATATCATAATTCAAAATCAGAATCAAGCTGCAGCTATGACATTTTTTTTTCAAGCTTTTGCAGCCTTATTCCACAGTATCTGTACTTACTGTGACAAATGCCATAAGGACACCTGAAGCATACATTGGGACTATGCAGGTGGTCATAGCTATATGACCTTGTTTGACTTGTGGATCTGATCAGAAGCAAGGTTTACAATATTGAAGATGATAAGTATCAAGTGATGATGCTTATACAAAATTATTTCATTTACTAGAAATAACCCACCAGTGGATGGGCGGCCACTTATGTGTAATGCATCGACTAAGGCTACTTGACCAAATATGCATTCAATTAACCACTTTATAAGAATCCCAGTTAGTGCTAACCCCCAAACTAAATGCACAATTCTTCACACCATTGAACTACATTGATATTCTAATGCTCTACCTCCTTTTACACATAGATTTATTACATCATATTTAAATTGAGACAGTATCAGTTAAACATAATAATAATAATAATATTAAAGTTTATTTGAAAAACACGCTTCATCCCCAAAAGCTCAAAGCGCGGTACAAAGTCAACCATATTATAAAGAGAAATAAAAACAATCTGAAATTTACCACATTTAAAAAGCAGACGCAACAATATAAAACTACATACGAGCATACCAAGTCAAAGTCTTTCATCCCGTTTCAACCATAAGAAAATATTATGCGTCAAATGCATTGGCAGTATTTTTAATAATCTCATTTAGCGCAGTTATCTTGAATCTTAATTTGCGTGCTAGTGAACTCAATTTTACACCATACATATTATACACATACATACATTAATACCTAGATAATAATTATTTCATTTACATCACTAATGTGTAATTTGTTTGGTTGTTTTTTTTAAACTTTTATCCTTGTGCCAATTTAATATTTATATCACATGAAGTTGACTCCTTCAGAAAAACAAAAATGCAAAAGAATTCAATAAATGCTTGGCAAAAGTAAGGACACCTTGCACAAAACCATCCACACCGCAGCGACAATTAAATGACAAGAAAAAATAATATTTATTTTTCTTAATTTGTATACACTTACCAAAATCATTAGCTGGTATGGAGACTAACTCTTCAAATTTCAACTTGACCTAAAGGTAATGACATTAAACATTTGAATTCATCGCACACAAGTCTTTAAAAAAAATACTTAGCATAGCAGACCTCAAATTTTTTTACAATTTCTCTTTGTTTTTTTGTTTTTTTTACAAATTTAATTTTGAGTAAAAGTAAAAAACACACAAAGGGATAAGATAAGTTCTTATTTTTTGCCCTCATTAAAATCAACAGGTTTACCTTTTTCTCTGTGAATGTTCTCCCAAATGTACGACACAACCTAAACATAAACTGACAGAGTGCGTGAACGACTTTCTGCATGGCAAGGCCGATGGTCATGGTGACCTCGAGTATCCGTGGCAACCTACAGAAAAAACAATTAAGATAGACAGTTGACATTGAAAATGTAAGTGTATTGATATTTTATTACCTGTAATTTTGATGAATTTATTATTTGGGTTAGTGTTTATAATTTCAAAGCAAACTGTATTTCAGTAATTTAATTTTTAAAAAAAAAGGCAGGGCCTGGTAAATACCTTTTAAATAAATTAAAAGGTTTTTAAAGAAAAAAAAAAAAAAAAAAAAAAATTTAAATAAGTAAAAAAATCCAGTGTGACTTTTATTATTTATTTTTTATGTTAACAAAATGTTTTCAATCTTAAGCATAATTTAAAAACCCTCACACATTTAAATTTTGAGTGATTATTGGTTTATGTTTAATTTTTAGTAGAATTTGAAAGAAAGAAAACGTACAAATTGTTGACAATCCAGTTCAGCTCCTCCCAGGGCTCAAACCACTCCTGGTCAATATGACCTTCAAATCTAGACAAAAGTTTAACGAAAGCTCGCTCTCCACCAGACATCACTAGAAGGTCACTTAGTGCACAGGTAGGTCTAGGAAATCTTGACACTGAACAGAAAAAACAAGAGACATGGCATTTATTTATTTTTTTTTTAAATTGGGCCTTTCATTATTTTGCACAGATGATTACAATTTTAAAATTTTGAACAGCAGCATATCACAGCCCTCTTTTCATTGTCAAATCAGGCTGATATTAATGTTAAGAAATGTTATTTTTTAAGATGACAAAGCAACACCTGACTTTTTTTTTTTTATTTATTTATAAAATTGTATTAACATTTAAGGAATTCTTAAACCAAAAAATATTGGAAAAAAAACTAAAATTAAAATTTAAACATTTTGAATAACTCGCTGAAACAAAAATTTACAAAAAATTTTAAAAGTTGTCCTTTTCTGAAATTGTGTGTCCCATCCAGTCTTCTTTAACACAGTCCTATTTAAGAATAATGAAAGTTGCAGAGACTTACAGTCAGCCCGTACTTGCTCTGTGTGAATGGTTGAGGATGGACAAGTTTCAAGTACTGTTAGGTAAAGTAAGGGAATCAACTCCTCCAAAGTACTCAGGAGCAGAAGAAACCGACTCTCGTTCAGTGGTAGGGATGTTGAGCTGTTGACCTTTTGAGCAGTAACAGCACCCTAGGTTGAAAACATTAATAATTTATGCCATGGAGAAATACTGTGTTTCCACATTAGAACAGCTTTATTTAAGACATGATAAAATAAGCAATCACCAGTGGCGTAACTAGGTGGGCCAGGCAGGGAACATGCCCACATCATCACTTAAAGAAGGCTGCTGAAGGGGCCAGAGGAAAAAACCCGACAAATTATTTTTTTAAATTTCAGAACTTACATATAGTGTTTTTAAAAGTTGAGAAGAGCTCATGGTTTTACAGGCGCACCGCACCATTTATCCTAGTTAGGCCACTGGTAATGCCACAAATCAATACAATATTTCAGTAAAGAAAACAGAATATGTGAATTCTTTCATTTGAAATTTTCACTAAGATTGATACTTATATTTTTTTGAAGTATGAAACGAGTTCTGACCACCACTTTAACTTGAGAAAGTAAAATTCACAAAATACACCAGGCAGTCAAATATAAATATCTAGTGTATGTGTTATACTCCTTAATTAAGTACATGAAAATTTTTGTCATGTAAATTAGACACGTGCAACCCAGCCCTAATACCAAAGCATGGAGGTGCACATCAAAGGCAGGAGGTAAAAGATCTCTACTGGTAATGCCACATACAATACTTTAATATAAAAGTATGCAATATCCTATTATATAATACTTCTTATATTACATGTAGGCATAAAAACCTTTTGAGGCTTTATTTGTAAAAAGTTTAGTTTTTTTACAGTGAAAAATCTTCAAACAACATTTTAAAGTCAGAAGATTATTTTTCAAAGTCTGGCAGACCAACTATGAAGATGCTGAGGAGACAAGGACCATGGTTGCTCACGTCTGCTCTAGACTTAATGGGGAAAGCATATGACCAATTAACAAGTGCAAAAGAGGAAGATGAATTGTAAAATTCATAATTGGCAGGCTCAAAAGCCATTTTGAAATTTAAAAATAAAAATAAAATACAAAATTATTAAACCAAGTAAGTACAAAGGTTAAATTGACATTTCATCCGTTTGGAGACAAAAAATGAGTATAATAAAAATTCCAAATCTCACAATCAGTCATATTTTTAGCTCAGAAGACCCCGTAAACTGAACAGGATTGGTGATGTAAGGGGAGGTGAGCAGCATGGCTTGGTGAAAAGCATTGTATAGTTATTTAAAAGAAACACTGACTCCATGGACTTAAGCAGGGTGGAAAGAGATTTTATTTTCAATGGTTGGATTTCTTAAAGAAAAAAAAATAATTGAAAAACTTTGGAGTTGGACAAATAAAGCACTCAAATAATACCTCAAAGCAAACATTGAGTTTTTAAAAAAAAAATAGAAGGCTTTCACTACAGATCAAAGCTCTTATGTTAACTTGTAGCTTGTAGACACAACAAATACAATTACAGATAATAAAATACTTTAATTGCCTGTCTTCTCAAAATGATGTGGCCTGTGAGACTAAAGCCTGCAAGATGATTACAGCGAGCTAAGTTATTAATTATAAAATAATTTGTTACTATTCATAATTAACATAAGATAGTATTGTCCAGACTAGTGATTTTCAACATTTTTCAAATGAATGAACATTCAAAAAGTGGCTAGAAGGATTGAAAATCCAGTTTTTTAGGAGGAATTTTTTTTTTTTTTTCAACTTAAAATAAAAATATACTTCTATTAAGTTATTAAAAAAAAAAATTATTTTTAATTAACTAATTTTTTTTTTTAATGAACATTCAAAAAGTGGCTAGAAGGATTGAAAATCCAGTTTTTTAGGAGGAATTTTTTTTTTTTTTCAACTTAAAATAAAAATATACTTCTATTAAGTTATTAAAAAAAAAATTATTTTTAATGTACGCATTTTTTTTTTTACTTCTTTGCCCAACCCAAAGTGTGTTCCATTTCTTTTGTTTTTTTTCTTTTTATGATAACAGTGATGTAAAAAAAAAGTAGGAATAAAACAGAATGCAGCAATGGAAATTTATTTTCAGTGGATAATTTTTTTTAATAAACACATTACCTCTTTTTGTTATTGAACTTCAAGAAAATTAACATCTAAGTTTAGAAAATCATTACTTCAAAATTTAAAAAGCTGTTATGGCTTAAAAGTTACAGATTCAAAATGTTTATTTCATATTCAAAATAAACCAGTATTTCCTATACAGCTGTAAATTACGCCTTTTCATGATTTGTTGCAGATTTTATAACAATTGTATTCATTACTTCTTATAGAGGATTTTATCCAAGTCAAATACTGTATATTTCATTATAAAGCCTCAGCACTCACAATGTGCTTCAGTGGTGAGGACCTTATAAAATATACTAAAACTTTTGGATACATGAAACTATATAAATATTTAATTATGAACTGAATCTGCTGGTTTACTTACTACGCATTATTTTCAGCTTGTCCATCTAACACATGGGTAAATACACTCCTTGCTAATGTGTATGCAACCAAGTAAAAGATCCTGTAACTAAATTCATTATTGTTCAGAAGCAAAATACTTTCCCTTAAAATGGCTAAAAGTGATGCCTTATAAAATCCATAGCCTGATAAAGATAATAACAGCCACAATCAGAATTAATATGATTAAAATTATGACTTTTTTTCCAAATTAAGTTTGTTTATTCCTTGTACTTATTTCAAAACCTGTTATTTATATTTCCCTCTTCATTTTGTACTCATAATAATTAAAATTTTAAGAGAACTATTAGAAAATTGCTTATGGCAGGCCATACACTTCTTTTTTGTTTAACGCTCCCCCAAAACTTTATTTGGTTAAACACATTGGCAAGGTTTGCTTTTTAATATATTAAATGTGCATTTTATATGGCACTAGATATGGTTCTGGTTAAGGGCAAAGTGACCAGGCACATTCAGCACTGACAGGGACTCAATGATCCAAGCTTCTAATAAAATTTCTACTCCCTCTAATTAACTTATGGTGATAGGGGTGACTTAATGATAGTGATACCTTACTGGCACAGAGAATAAATCTTAAAACATTTTTTCAACCACTGTTAGGAGCATTACTTCAATTAATAAAATTAAAATGGAATTATTTTTTAAAATTTTTGTGGTTGTACATCAAAGTTCTGAAACTAAATAATTTTATTCATTAGGAAATATTTCTACATTTATAATAGGCCAACTACATTTGGAAAAGGTAATAAATATAATATCACGTAAACAGGCAATGTTTTGATAATTTACCTATTTTTTAAAATTAATCCTATTCAATTTTATTTTTAACCTAATAACACTAAATATATTAAGAAATGATTTAAAGCTAGCTCATAAACTAAAATTCATGCTGAAGGTGCCTGGCACATTTTAAAAAAAAAGCATTTTGAGCATAAGAAAAGATGCCCCAGATGGGCTAATATGGAGTTGCCTTAACTGTGTCCTCCAAGTGTTTAAGTAGGTTATGCATGAGATGGTGCTCCAGGCGACCAAGTTCTCTTGACCACATTCCCAGAGCAGGTAGAAAGACATGGAGGGCAGCTTTATGAACCTTTTCCTTTGGATCTTTTAGTGCTGTCATTAACAGGTCATAACCCTATATTTAATCAAAATATGAACATAAATTAAAATTGAAGAAATCAAGAATTTGCATCACAAAGAAAAGTGGGAATGACACAAAAAATATTGCTGTAAACAGTACTTTTGCATGTGGAAATAATCAAATGCATGTATGAGTTTTACTGCATTAATATGAAACCGACATGTCCAGTTATAACAAAGAAAATTCTATTCATTAGTTCAGAAAAAGCCACTAACTGTAAGAATAATGGTGCAACTGTAAAAATTGGAGCACAAGTTTTGGCTTGAGTGGGGAGAGAGAGCAAAGTTATTAGCCATGTCTTGAAATGTATGATAACCATGGGAATGTGAAGCCACTGGAAAAGTTGTGAGTTTCTACCAAAGTTTATCTGACATGAAAATATTTTTATTTCACCGCAACCAAAACCATGGAGCGCACAAGTTAAATCGGAACGGCTTTCATTTGTAATTCGCCACAACAAAATCACCTGTAAGTATTTATCTGCATCACATATGAATCCCATGAGCAGGCCCAGACTTTTTACTATGCCTTCTCTCACATCTTCGTCCCTGTCATCAGTCATCATTTGTTGCAGCATGGACAGGACAAGTGAGCTGCGGATTTCAGCCTTCAATGGAAAAAAAAAAAAAAAGAGAAAGAAAGAATATTTTTTTTTTAACATTATCTGCATCACATATGAATCCCATGAGCAGGCCCCGACTTTTTACTATGCCTTCTCTCCCATCTTCGTCCCTGTCATCAGTCATCATTTGTTGCAGCATGGACAGGACAAGTGGGGTGCGGATTTCAGCCTTCAATGGAAAAAAAAAAAAAAAGAGAATGTGAGATTATTTTTTTTTTAACTGTCAGGGGCAACATTTTTTATCATGGCATGAAAGCTTTTAGACTAGTAAAGAGCAAGAACAACATCAAATCTTGCATTGGTGATTAAATTATTTTGTAAACACTGACAGTGATTCCAAGCAAAGTGAATAGATGCTTGAATCACTTCAGGGCTGAGCCATAACACACTAGGCCTGTTTAGCCCTATTAGATGCTCCAAAATGTCATAGTAATTTTAAGGTTGCCGGATATGATAGGTCAATAATACAATAAGTATTAAATACCAGCAGATAAGAGATTACGTAAACTACAATGTTTTATTTACACAAATTGATGTGTCTAATTAGTGAACATTGAAGGGGAACTCAGTCATAACGATGAAATAATTGCAAGCTTGTTTACCTATGGTTAAATATGAGGCTAAAAGCTCCACTCCCTAAAGCCAAACAATCAGAACGATGATCTCACTATATTTTTTGGCTAACAACTTACTGGTAAATATGAGGCTAGTGCACCACATGCTTCAGCTACAAGAAGACGTCTTTCAATAAACTTGTGACCAATCTGTGAACATGACAGGTAAGAAAAAGCAAAGTTAGTTTTATTAATTGAGAAAGAACAACCTGTTTGTTCAAATTTGGTTTCAACTCACACAAAAAAAATATTAAAATCATTCATAATAAACAACCCTTAAAAAAAAAACTCTACGTGCCAGGTTTCAGCTTGATAGGTTGACAGGAAGTGGGTCAAGTAGCCGTCCGAAGATTTTGCCAGCCATGAACAAAAGCCAAGTTCAAATAAAGGATTTATAATAATGTATATTTTTTAGGAAATCGCTCCCATGCTTATACAAAAAAAACTGATAAAATCTTCTGACCTGCTCCCAACATTGTGGTAGTAGCTCCTCAACAAGTCTGTCGGCTCCAGCATGCTCTGCAAACACCACACAACCAGTCAGGATCATCTGTCTGTTGGGAAGAAGAAAACCTAAAATAGACATACTCTTATACTCCACTAGAATTAACTCTTGTGATAAATGACAGAAAATTCTATGCTTACTTATGCTGTGATATGGCAACAAAAAAATAAAATAAAAAAACGATGCCAAAGCAGATAGTAGTCTTATTATAATCAAATAAATTCAAAATCCTGAATCTCATGGGTTGCTTTTATAAATTATGTATTCATCTCTGGGGTAAATCCAAGAAGGTGAAATATCTGTGGAAAACCTTGCAATATATATATACCATATTAAAATACTGTGTTATGCTTAGAAAAACTTAAAAAAGGAAATGAGTAAAACAAAGTATGGGAAACCTGAAAAAAAAAGAACACAACAAAACAATTAAAGTGGCGGCAGGAAGCATTCATCAGCAAACAAACAACAGAAAAAACAAAATTAAATTTGTAAAAATTTTTAACTTGGCTGAAATGTGGTATCCCATAGGGCAGCAAAAGGAAGGGGCACTTACAAAACTAAGAGGCATCATAGGGCAGCAAAAGGAAGGGCCACTTACAAAACTAAGAGGCATCATAGGGCAGCAAAAGGAAGGGCCACTTACAAAACTAAGAGGCATCATAGGGCAGCAAAAGGAAGGGCCACTTACAAAACTAAGAGGCATCATAGGGCAGCAAAAGGAAGGGCCACTTACAAAACTAAGAGGCATCATAGGGCAGCAAAAGGAAGGGCCACTTTCAAAACTAAGAGGCATCATAGGGCAGCAAAAGGAAGGGCCACTTACAAAACTAAGAGGCATCATAGGGCAGCAAAAGGAAGGGCCACTTACAAAACTAAAAGGCATGATAGGGCAGCAAAAGGAAGGGCCACTTACAAAACTAAAATGCATCATAGGGCAGCAAAAGGAAGGGCCACTTACAAAACTAAAAGGCATCATAGGGCAGCAAAAGGAAGGGCCACTTACAAAACTAAAAGGCATGGATTTATTTATACATTTTTAAACAATTTAGTTTACACATATCAACATGAAGTGACTACAAGTTTTTTTTAATCTATTTGTATTTTTCAGATCAGGGTTATCTGAAGTTCTTTAGATTTGTAAACCAGCACATCATGTTACTACGGCTGCACAACAGTTAAACTCCAGAGAAAATGTAAGTTCCTTTCAGATTAAAACAACTCTGTAACTTAAAAAAACTAAGCCCACCTTTGCTCATCGTCAGGCTTCTTGATGAGATTGAATAAAATATTGAGCAGCTGATCTCTCTGTTTAGGATCTGGGTGAAGAATGGCTGTACAAAGTATCACAGGAATGAGCTCCTAGTAAAAGAAATACACAAAAAAACATCACTTTTTTGTGTGCAGCACTAAATTGCAATTTTTTTTTTTTTTAAACCTGCTCGATTAATTTTAAGCATGAAGATCTCTTAAGCTCATTCTTGAGCATGAAAATTTCATTAAGCTTATTCTTAAGCATGAAAAAAAAAAAAAATTCTTTAAGCTTTTTCTTAAACATGAAAATCTCTTTAAGCTTATTCCTAAGCATGAAAATGCAAATGAAGATGCTTCAGTTTGTTGAGCCAAAGAAATAACATGGCATCTCAAGCGTGTGGTTTTTAATGTGTTATTTTTAATGAAAATAGAATCACCTCTCTTTTGGCCAGCAAAACATTAGGAACAATATGAGGTAGACATCTAGCAAGCATTTTCACCACACCATGAACATCTGAATGGCTGATTTTTGACATCTACAATGAGAGAATCATCAGAATATAATGATAATATAATGACAGTGATTGGAGCTGTGCAGACTTGTCAATAAACAAGAGTTCTGAGGACTTTATATTATTATTTGGTAGCAATCTTTAGTTTACAAAATAACACTTATTGTTATTTAAAATGATTCTTTAAACTTTCATTAAATAAAAAAAAGTGAAAAACCAATTCAAATGTGGTACCTCTGAAACGATGCGGTTATCTTGGGACACGTGAAAAGCCACATCCAAAAGTGCCTTACGGAATGTAGATGTCATTTGCCTGAAATGGGAGTTTGTAAGTTTTAGCCGGGGCTTAGAATGTTAATTAATTGAAAATAAAAATAAGTGAACAGAATTAGTGATTAAAAAAATTTGTTAAATAATAAAAAATCTGTTGTGAAAATTGAATTAAACATACTTAAACAACAACTATTATACAAGAGAGAGCTGACAACAACAAAATTACTTGTATCATGACATTTGATTATGTAATATGTCACCTGAAGACAGCTTTTAGTCCAAGCTTTCTTAACTTTGTTTTCTCTTAAATAAACCTTCATCCAAGGAGTTTGTGTTTTTTAAAAAGCATTTAGTTTCAACTTCAGTTTGTGCGCAGTCAAAATGTGTGGTCAGGCTTTTGGCAGATGGACATTTAATTCCTGGTAAATGTTTGTGCTCAGTCAAAATGTGTGGTCAGGCTTTTGGCAGATGGACATTTAATTCCTGGTAAATGTTTGTGCTCAGTCAAAATGTGTGGTCAGGCTTTTGGCAGATGGACATTTAATTCCTGGTAAATGTTTGTGCTCAGTCAAAATGTGTGGTCAGGCTTTTGGCAGATGGACATTTAATGCCTGGTAAATGTTTGTGTTTTTTCAAGCCAACTGGTGTGCTAAATGTCCTGTCAGGCAATTGTCTTAGTGTAAGCACCAAATCAAGTAAAAAGCCTGGTCAACTTAAATACTTTTAATACTGGACAGTGAATTGACAACAGAAGAAGTAAAGTAGGGATATAATGAATCATGGTTAAATCACAGGGTTAATATTAAACAGAAACTCGTCCCTCTCCCACATAGACAGCGACGAGGCCATGACAGGCAATTCAGGCTCATACCAGCAAGAAGCCAGTATAGGAGCTGCTCATTCCTACCCAAGACAATCAGGGACTGGAACCATCTTTCAAAAGGAACAGTTGAGGCGACAACATTAGACACATTTGTGTCTATTGCCTCAAGCCTTCAAACCCCTAGTGCATGATTTCCTCATCAACACCAGTAACAGAAACATATTGCAAATCCCATCTACATGCATAGGAGCCAAAATGATCAATAAATTGATCGTGAGCCCTTAAGATATAGAAGAAGAAGAAGAAGAAGAAGAAATAAGCCAGCAAATGATTTGCAGGTCAAGAAAATCCATTTTGTTTGTGGCAAGCTGTAATTACAAAAAAATTTTTTTACCTGTTTTTTAATTCGCTTGAATTGTGATCCTGCACAAGAGGTTTAGAATGATCAAGTATGGAATTTTCAGGTTGTGAATGATTACTGACTAGTTCCTCTCTTGGGGCCACAAGAGTTGTCAGTGTCGTGCCTCCCTCCACCTCCTCCTGACCCTCCCCTTCCTCTCTTTCTCCCATGACATTGTTGCTGAGAGATGAATCAACAATGTCAATCACTCCAGGAGAACTTGACTGATCATGTTCCACGTGAGTCTCTTCAGATCTGTTCCTATGACTGCTCCCTGTTTGTGAAGCAGAAGCAGGGAGAGGCCCATTTGCAGAGCCTGTACTTGATGTTCTGCCAAATTTTGGTCCTGGTTCAACATTTGTGTCAGATCTTTGGGAAGGGGTTACAGTATTTGACTGATGGAGAGATTCACGGGTGCTACCTCTGAAAAACAAATATTCAAAATAACGATAAATAAATAAGTATATTTAGGCCTACATTATTTACTTCTGCAAGTCTAGATGATGTGAATGATAACTAACATTGGAAAAAAATGTCATTTAGCACACAAAAAACTAAAATTTGTATCATAAGAAGTTTCAAAAGTGTCGGGATCAGTAATGATTGGTTTTCACACGTCAAGTTTGTTCACATGTTAATACGTCTTAATCTGATTGACACACAGGTCCTATTTCAAGAACAACATAAACTTTAATCCAGGCTTCTGTAACATCTCGTCATACAATAATGCAAACAAATAGAGCGCAGTCCACTACTGAAATACCATACAACCTTCTCACTCAATGCTCAGACTCCTACTGCCCAATGATTAGCATGTACACCAAAGACAGACTATAGACACCATATCACAGGTACATAAAAGTCACAGCTACATAAAAATCACGTCACAATAGATCACAAGCCTAATGGTGCCAAAGCCTAATGGTGCCAAAAGCATTCATTAACTACACTAACAAATAGATCACAAGCCTAATGGTGCCAAAGCCTAATGGTGCCAAAGCCTAATGGTGCCAAAGCCTAATGGTGCCAAAAGCATTCATTAACTACACTAACAAACAAAACACATTGCACACAATATTCGTTGCACAACAGCTAAGAGTGAATATTCATCTGACAAAAATTTATATTTAAGTAAAAGACTTAAGTATTTCCTCCAACAAAATGATAAATACGTTCTTCCCCCCCCCCCATATGAATAAAGGACTTACATCTTTAGGATTTCAACTTGTTGGGCTAAGATTTCATTTTCTTGGTTCGATATTTTAAGCTTTTTATCTAGAGATATCAGTTGAGATTCCTAAATAAGAAAAATGCAAGTAAGAGATTGTGCATGGATTGGTGATTTTTTTAAATAATTAAATTTTCATTTTAAATATCTGTACATTCTACCAACTATAACACACTCAATTATTATAGTCAACATATTGTACTCTCCAAAAAAGCACAAACCAGAATATCAATTCTTGACTTCCATTCAGTCTCAAGATGATTGAATTCATCCTTCTGAAAGTCTACTCCAACTCCTACATCTGTCATCTCTTTATTTGGGGCAACATGGCTGCTATAATCTTTAAATAGATGAACCAGGCCAGGAGGCCTTGGAATATTGAGTCCTACATCATCCCAGTCTTCAAAATCCTGTGATAAAAAAAATAAAGACTCTAAGTTTGTTGGGTTTTTTTTAAATTAGTAACCCCAGCTATTTAGAAAGTTCTAGGAAAGAACACAAAATTTCTTTGCAGGTAAAACTTAACAGGTCGATGAACATTTAACAATGAAAAGATATAGGGATATGGCATGCGGTATTAGTAGCTTTCAGTCATCAAATACTGGCATTGATGATCAAGACTTATAAAAGAATATGAATAATAAATAACAAACCTGCTCCTCATTTTCTTCCGCAAAAGTCACAGACGTGACTTTGTAGTTTGCTTGTAAAAGATATTCATTGACTAGGAAGTTCAAGGCTTTCTTTTCCACTGGAGTGATTGTATCACTTTCTTGACCACCAAGCCCTCCTTTATATTGATTTTCAGGTGTTGAAAGTTCGGTTTCTGAACAAAAGAAAGGAACGCTAGTGCTTCATTATGTTTTACTAGCTAAAATAATTATGAGCATCAATTTTCTTTTTTTCTACAACTAAACAGCAGATTATTAAGGGTAAAATTTATATTACATGGAGTTTGAAACATTTTTACCGGTACACAAGTCAAATTTTTTTTTCAAATATTACAAATGGTAACAAAGATCTATCATATTCCTTCTGGTAAATTGTTTTCAAGGCAGAAGCATGAAATACAATTTTTTTTTTTAATATATTTTAGTTCCAGTAGAGCTCTTACAGAAAAATAAGATGAATTATTTATATTGTTTTTTTTAGACGATCTAATGAAACTGGGGCCTAGAATAACTAAATAAAAGAAATTCGTAATTATGATTAGTAACAGACTGATTAGCTGCACAAGTCTTTATCACAAGTTTTATCTAATTTCAATTTCAACTGAACAACTCTTAGAACCATGATGATGACAATTTTTATTTTACTTGACTATCAAAGGTTTGGCTTAAAGGACAAGGATTTTAAAGAACATTTTCTATCAGATTTAATATGATATAAATGAGAAAAATTATTTACTACTATTTTTAATAGGATGCTTTTTAAAAATATAATAATTCATAAAGAAAAGTTACAAACCTGCTTGTTGGGTAAGACTTGCACGTAATGATTTTATGGTTTCTTGTGCTTTACGCAATTCAAATTCTAGAACTGTTAGAGAATTGGTTACAAATTTATTAATCCACTAAATATTTTTTTTCAACAGAATGAGAGTTCAAATTTTTTTAACATTTCTATAATACAGTGTAGAAACATTTCTAAAAAATGTTTATTTCCATGAGTAAAATTACCATACACATTCCTCTAAAAGTCAAACATCAAGAAATATGCTATGACTCGTGGATAAGTCAAGGATAAATCTTGGGGCTATGAAATTCTGTGATTTGTATCATTTTGTCAGATTTTTACCTAGCAAAAATCGCTGCACTGTACACTAAACTATAGCTAGTGTGATTAGGCCTACACTCTCTTGCAGTCGGTGGTATGAAGTGACATGCCAACAATTTAAATCAGTTTCTCGCCTCTCAACACTATATGCTGACGGACTCAGAAGTCAGCGATGACACGTGACTTGGTAACAGATTTCACTTCAGCATCAACAGCTGTTTTTGTCTGTGTGTACCACATATCTGGGTCAACGTACAGCTACTGTTGAGTACACTTGCCCTACCAGTAAGTCGACATTGCCCCGTATTCAGAGTACAAATTCTATCAAAACTAGCAAAGAACCATGGATAAATGAAGTTTACGACTAAAATTTCTGAACTTTAACACAAGTATATACAGTAAATCTCACCAGCAACACGCTCATCAACTTGTCGTTCACCATCATCAGAATAACGGGCAAAATCTAGTGAGTCAAATGTTTGTACACTTGAAGTTCTTGCTGCAGAAAAAGTACATAGCTTTCGTTATCTTATCATTAAAATTTTAATTTCCAAAAATAATTAGATATAGCCTAAACTAAAATTAAATAAAACTACTGATATCTGTCATTATTAACAACTTTTTCAAGATTTTCTTAGGGAGAAAACTACACTTGCTAACAGTTATAGATTTGGGCTGTTGTTTTTTTTAAATCAATTGTTTTGTTATTATCGTGTAGCACTCTCAGTTTTTAAAATAAATGTCTGCATAAATTTGAAAAACAAGATATTATTAGCATTAAGACCATTTAATAAGGCAATTTAAATATTTTATATTATTGTATCTTATTAGACAGACAAATACTTGGGCATAACAAGTTGCCCAATGTGCATGTATGCTATAAATGGTAATTTTCAGAAGACATTATCCTATAATAGTATGTTTCACTGTCATTTGACTTGTTTAGTGACTATAAAAAGGTACTTTGATAAAGTAAAGAAGATCATTACTAAATTTGTATCCACAACATGCGTCGGTGCAGGTAGAATCTACTTTTAAATTTAAACAGGTTGTGTTTATTGTTAATTTTTAAAACTTTTTTTCTTAATAATTAAACTCATTATACACTTACAGTTTTGAAGGCATCTGATTCTACATTCCCATATATATCTTAGCAATTTTGCAATCCACACTACATTTAATTTGTCATGAGTAAATTAAGTAATAATTAGCATGTATGTGAGACTCCAGGTTAAAAGTATATAATTAAATTAAAACGAAGAGGAGCCTTAATTGGTTGATATTTTTATCAAATATTGAGATATAAAACGTGTGGTAGCCTCTGCTCATGACCAGGTGGACTATATTATATTATGTACATGATCCCTTATTCCAGGGTGTGCAAACTTTTTGTGCGGAGGGCCACATTGACTAATGTAAAGCTACTGAGGGGCCGCATGTATATTATGTCCAATTTTTACATGTCGATAAACATTACTCTATATTAAAATCAGACCATTGGCATTTTAGCATTACATGACAAAAATCAAGGACTGTTTAAAAAAAATAGATAACTAGAAAGAAATTTGATAAAAAAATGTTAAAACAATCATAAAGGTACATGAAATTATGTAAAATTCAACAAAATTATTTAAAAACAAAGTATTTTATTAAATTTCTAAATGCCTTCGAGTGCCGCATAATATCAGTTGCAGGGACGTAGTTTGACCACCCCTGCCTCATTTCATTATCCCTGCACCGTCCACTCCACTCAAATGCCACAAAATAACATCTGGCTCATAGAATTGCGTTTAATTTTCAATGTCCACTACTCAAATTATGTTTTAGAAGTATTTATAAATAAATTACATTACATTACAAGCTCTTTTGTTTTCAAAATATGAAAATTTTGCATTTATAAAGCTTTCTGAAATAGATGAAAACAACAGAACTATGTCATAAAATGTGCAGGTCCAGTCCATAGTGTAAAAAATGACAAACAAACTCACATTTTAAAAAAAAATTAGTTCAAAAACAACTAACTAAAGCAAGAAAATTTATGTTGGTTTCAATTTTTAATTTAAAAAATTGATTTATAAAACTGCAGTTTTAAAATTTTGGGGAAATTTCTTAATTTTTTACAGAAGTACCAACTGTAAATCACTACGACATCTTATACATTACTATACTTTTAATCAACAATAGTAACAGTCACTGAGTCAGTAGTAATAGTAATATCAGGTACATGTTGATTCGGCGTGCCATTCATTTCTTACTGCTGCCATCTTGGTTGCATTATGTGTTATTGCTACCAAGATGGCAGCAGTGTAAAATAAAAAAAAGTAGTGGCAACACACGTACCTAAAAAGGTTTGGGGATAGAGAGAGAATCTGATGTTTTAGCTAGTAATTGAGAAATGCGAAAATAGGAACTGAGGAACAAAACTTTAAAATTATATAGTCGCCCACTTTCCTGGAGTAATTTCAGCTGCTACTCATTAATTTTGTGACAAATGTAGCCACTTTATTTTGTCCTCTACATATACGGTAAGAATTTTCAATGACCTGCAGTCGATCCCTTCCCTCCACTAAAACATGTGTGCTTCGGTTTCACACTGTGGTCAGAAAAGTGTAAAAATAAAGAAATACATTACAAAATATTTTTTAAATAATGAAAACCCAACTTACAGTTTCATAGAATATACTTTTATACACTTTATTGCAGGTTCCACCAAAAATAAAATCCAAAGTTGTCAGAAAAATCCATACTAAATGCAAGATGCCGGAAAATTTAGCCTTCTTTTAAATCCTGTTTTAAATATTATAATTAACCACCCAATGAAATATTAATTAAGAACATTCCAACTGCGTATTAATTTTATATTAAAAAAAGAAAATTAAACTCTAGTAACAATCCATGAATCAACAAAAGGGAGAGAATCCTACAACGCAACTCAAAGTGGCGCGCCAAATTAACACTAGTCATATACTAATACTAATAATCTTACTATATATCATATAGTCTATAGCCAATTTTCAATTTATATGTATTAAATAATTTAAATTTAATAATTAATGTTAACAGATTTTAGTACTATGTGGATAGAGAAGTTTTAAGATAAAAAGTGTTTTATTGAATCTTTAATCAAACATTGATTTTAAACGTACGCAAAGTTGGAGATGGTAAGTCTTCTTTGGTTCTTTCAAAGTTTCCAGGATTTGAAAAGAAGTCTCTGAGTCGAGGAAGATCTCTTCCTGATTCAATAAATTCGGTGTAAAGCTCTAATGCTGTTAAAATATAATTGTCTCTGAGTAGTTTGGCTGCAATACTATCCCAGGATATATCTATGCCCTCTTGACGCTGAACTTGGGTTGGGCGAGGCGGAAAATCAGATACAAAATCATTATCATCATCAATTTCAACTTCTGTAGCATCTGAATCACCAAATGGATTCAGACTATCCGCCATTTTGTCCCATAACAAGTCATGTGAACACTTCTAAATTTGTATTTAATTCTGCTCAGCTTATCCATGGTCACCAATCTCACATTGTGTACGTTTTTTAATTAATATTATTTTCGCAATATACGTTACACATTATTTCATTAAGTTAAAAATAAATTAACTTTTAAGTTTTTCTTAAAAACATAAAATTAGCTCCCGAATTTTATAAGGAGGTTTGGCAAGGGCAAATAAATATTTGTCAGAAAATATTTAAAATTTAAAAAAAAATCATATATATATATAGTTTTTTTTTCTTCTTCATTCTAGAAGGCCTATTAATGTAGAATGTATACATTCATTTAGAATCCGTTGGCAGCATTGGGTGCCATACTTCCCTTCTGCACATACTTTCTTTGATTAATGAATTTTATGAAATTTTAAGAGAATAATTTTCTACTGTTAAGTGCAATTTAACTCATTTTCAAAAGAGAGTCCTTTTTTTTTTTTTTTAAATTTCGTTCTGTATTAACTGTGATTTTCAAAATATCCCAGCATCTAAATCGTTATAGTATATTTCCCTTCTTCACATACTTTCTTTGATTAATGAATTTTATGAAATTTTAAGAGAATAATTTTTTACTGTTAAGTGCAATTTAACTCATTTTCAAAAGAGAGTCCTTTTTTTTTTTTTTAAATTTCGTTCAGGATCAACTGTGATTTTCAAAATATCCCAGCATCTAAATCGTGATAGTCAAACGTAACACATTCCGGGTGCAAATACATTTTCGACTAAATTCAAACTAACAAAGTCAATGTTTAGTCCTTGGCTCTTGTTAATTGTAACCACTCTGGGGTTTTGTGGGACATTTATTTTATGCTTATTTTTCATTTTTGGCAAAGCTATTTTTTTTAAATATAATTGTCATTGTATTATTTTTTTTTTCTACCCGCAAATCAATGGGGTTTATCAGTTTGTTGCATAATTTTGTGTTGTCACACATGACGTGACTCTCGTTCTGTTGATTCATTCTTCTTTGTGCTGACTTGTAAGGTGGCATCTGAGGCGATGAGTCGAGGGAGGGGTGGGTTGAGGTGATAAGTGAATGGGATAATAAGAAAAGGTGATTTTTAAACAAAACAGCCCTATCCCTTCGCTTACAATAATCATCGGCCATAACTGTAGGTGTAGGATTTCGGGATGGGATAAGGTGTTGGGGCAGTGCATTTTAGCAAACGCTGATCAGCGGATTGCAAGCAGTCGTTAAATTCTATTTTCCAGCTGTATACCTAGTTAAATAGCTACTCAGGATTTTGTAAGCATTCTTCTTTTGTGGATAATTTATAAATTAAAACTTTCATTCTAAAGAGTAAAAAAATTAAAATATATAAATAGTTTTTAAACTTTTAAACAAAAATACTTTTTAAAAGCTTTAAAAAGTTAAACATTATTTTCTAAAACTGTCATGAAATTTATTACGCAACAGAAGACTGTGCAGGGAGTATGTTGAAAAATTCGAAGAAATTTTAACAACCCTAAAAATAATGTTTCTCGTAGAAATCCTTTATAAAATATAACATCTAGCAATGGCGGGGGGGGGGGGGGGGGGGGCTAAAACTTTTTTTTTTAAAACTATGCATTCAATTAACGCACTTTATAAAAATCCCAATCAGCGCTCCCCCCCCCCCTCAATGAGGCTCGCAACCGCACATTTGTGTCCAGCCCTTGAACTCTATTAATATCATAATGACCCACCCGCTTTTAGCACGCAGATTTATTTCACCATTTCAGAAAAGCAAAATAAAATGTTACGCACCAAACGCAAATGGGATTTTTGTTTAATAGAGCATCTCATTGAGCGCAATTGTTGGCAATTGTATTACCTAAAATCAGGGTCATCATATTTCCTTCATCTTCCCCTTGAAGAATAGAACGAACTGATTTTTGGGGGTCAAGTCTAAAAATTTGATAGAATGTATCGTCATCGGCAACGAGCCTATGCGCCAAGATCAGAGGCGTAGCGAGGGTGTTTGGCGCCCGGGGACAAGATTCGCGCCCGGGGACAAGATCAATTTGAAAGCGCCCCCTTTTCTTTTTTTCAACTCTCAAACCCATTATTTTTACCAATAATATAATATCAAAGCACATTTTGGCGCCCCTAACTAGCTGGCGCCCGGGGACATCTGCCCCCCGCCACCCCCTCGCTACGCCTCTGGCCAAGATAGGTGGGTCAATTAGCCGCCCGAAGTTTTTGCCAGCCAGCTACGAACGACGTCGACGTTAATATAAAGGATTTTTTTTTTAAACATTTCACTTTTTTCTCCATTAAATTGGAATACTTTGGCTCATAGAGAGCCTCACTACCCTGCTGTACATACTTATAGGCCTACTTTCCAGAGATGGATAATAAATTCTCCGAATCTAGGGAAATTTCCCAAGTTGTATTAGCACTACAGCTACGTCGTCATCCCTAAATTATTTTTTATCCTATTGGCGATTAAGAATCGATTGAAAATATCTTCAGATATATTATAATATATATTCTAGCCGGGGGGGGGGGGGAGATAAATTATTACTTTTAAATAAAATAATGTCATAAATATGTTTCTATTTCCCTTTTTTAATTTATTTAAGCTACGTCGTCATCCCTAAATTATTTTTTATCCTATTGGCGATTAAGAATCGATTGAAAATATCTTCAGATATATTATAATATATATTCTAGCCGGGGGGGGGGGGGGAGATAAATTATTACTTATAAATAAAATAATGTCATCAATATGGTTCTATTTCCCTTTTTTAAGTTAATTATTTACACCCCTAAAAAAATTAATTGCACCCTGGACTAGTAGCCCTAAACACAGCACAGTATTTATTTTATTTTTAAAATTACCATTTACTTGATTAAAGTTTTATTTAGAACTGACGTAGGGGCCATCTGAAACTTATTTGGCTTGAAATAAACTGTAGTAATGCTAGGAGTTCCACTACCTAATAATAACCATGAACCGGCTTAAGCTATGAGCGGGTATTCCCATAACAAATAATATCATCATGGCTGTGACCTGTTGAGTCACCTATTAACATAGAAAAATTCCTGTTCAATAGAATGTTGACACGTCTAGCGTCACGCTCCAATTTATGATACACGACTACAGGCAAATCTTTGGGATATTGTTGGGACATGCAGCTTTAATTAAATTTCAGTTTCAATTTTCACTTGGCCAAAAAAGGACGATTAGGAGGTCCTGGCTGAAAGGTAAGAATTGATCTGGAACTGAAATGAGATTTTTGAGTCAGTTATTTCATGCAAGTAAACTAATCCACTGACATATTATTATACAATAATAACAATAGATCTAAACTTTTAAAATCATTTTATATAGTTCGTCCATTCGTTTTTTGTTGCTTTTTTTATTTTTATTTTTTTTGGTTGTTGTTGTTTTTTTTTTGTTCAGTGTGCTACAACTAAATTGTTGTTACCCGGCGATTGGCCTATTAGTAGGACGCTATCGTTCGTGGGTGTGTATGTGTCTTTGTTTGTTATTTTGTTTATTAGTTTGTTTGATATGTTTTGTATTGGGGAGGGGGGCGACCAGAAACAAAAATAAAATAGAACATTAAGATTTCTTTTAAAATGTATAGGTTCTCTTTTCTTGACCCACATTTGAGAATATATTTATTTTTTCCAGGGCGTATTTGATAATTTGGTGAGAAGGCCGATGCGAGCGTCGTTTGCTCGTTTGTTTCCAGGTAACACGCAAACAATGTGTATATTTATTCAAGTAAATAAAGAATTCATTGTTGCCCTTTATTTCCATTCAAGATCTTTATGGAGACCCTAAACTCAACTCCCCCCCCCTTTCCACCACACACACACACACCTATAACCCCCCCCCCCCGACCCCCCACGTCTCTCAAGATGGTTTCTCAACTCTCCTTCTACTTCTTCTTCTCTCGTCACGTGGTCCTTGAACTCTGACACCAAGAGACCCTAACCCCAACTCCCCCCCCCTTTCCCCCCCACACACACACACCTATAACCCCCCCCCCCCGACCCCCCACGTCTCTCAAGATGGTTTCTCAACTCTTCTTCTACTTCTTCTTCTCTCGTCACGTGGTCCTTGAACTCTGACACCACCTCACTGATTTAAAAATATCTTGTTTCACATTCGAGTGCAATAACAAATTAATGTTGCGTCGAAGTAATGCTTCTGAATCTAATGATTTTCATAGGATAAGCGTATGGATATATTTATGTATCCTATATCCGTCTACTCTTCGCCAATGGCGTAGGAAGGAGGGGGTGTACGGGCCAATCAACCCTGGGTGGCGTTTTTTTTCTTCTTTGTATTGAAGGGAGGGCATTTTTTTGCCAGTTTTTTTTTCCTGGAAGGAGATGGGCAATCTTGGCCCTCCCCGTTGGGCACTGACCCTACCTATGCCACTATTCATTGTGTCTTGACGTCATCTTAGATTAAACTTAAATTAATATCTTGGAGAGCAAATATTTCTCACGTCATGAGTGGCTTAGAATAGGCATGCTGTATGATTACCGATTATAGCTTATCTGTGTGATTTATTTGTTTATTTTTTTTGGTTAAAACTTTGTAATTATTTTTTGACAGAGCACAAAGATGAGTGACGAGGCGAAAGAGACCATAAACGCGTGGTTGGCAAAACTTATAGCAAACGGATGCTGTCCCGGTTTGGAAATGGTGGACGAAGAACAGCGCATATTTCACATCCCTTGGCGCAACGAGAAGAGTGGGGGGCTCCAGGACGGCGGCAACGACACGATCTTCTTACGACTGTGGGCCGAACACAAAAACTACACCATTACGGATGGGGGCAAAGAGGAGAGGAGGGACTGGAAACACAAATTTCGGTGCGCCTTAAACAAATGTTCCCATCACATCACCAAGCTCAAAAATGGAAAGGAGTTCATGACGTGTCAGTTTAGAGACCCAGAGACGACTCCTTCGTCTCGTAAGAGAAGACCCGAGGCAACCCCGCCGACGGAACGTGAAGAAGAGCATAATTGCAACACGGGGATTTTAAGACCATCTTTACACACTGAGACGAACGGCCGTGCCTTTAGCTCTGACTCGGACTCACCTACAGAATCTATGCAGCGATCCCCAAACCAAGAGACCGTGGTTCAGAACAGCTGCCCAAGAAGAGAAGCTCAAAGTGTTCAAGAAATTGACGACTGCCGTGTGGCAATTGAAGTATTTTACGGAAGCCCACATCGCACGGTGAGGCGATGGTTAGTGAGCGGCAGCAATCCACGCTGTGTAATATGCTCAGACGTGTGCAAAATTCAAGCACTGAAAGAAACTCTCAAAGAGACCGAAGATGTTATTGAGCTGAATCTACCACCGGTTGAGGATTTCCCCGATATTATTGGTGAGAGCAGAGAGATGATCAGGGAAATTCTCGGAAAAATGCAACGTGGACTGACCTTCAGTTACGAATCTGAGAACATTCACGTAGAGCGGCGGGCGATGATAAATCTTTTTGTCTACGACGGTACCTCACATAAATTAACTCGCAGAAGATCCAGGCACGACGAACCAGTAGTTTTTAAACTATTCGATTTCGAAGCATTCCATTTTTCTTTGGTGCGCCACGTAGAAAATACAAGCGAGCCTTGCCCCGAGACAAATGTCTTTTTGACGATTGGTTTCGAGGCTTTTCCCAATCAGGTTGATCCTTTCCTAACAGTCCCAATTTATGTGAAGGTCACTCATATGCAGGCTGAGAAATACAAGAGTATGATGTTGTCGAGATATGACTCCGTTCCTTATTCTATAATGGTTTCAGGCTTCGACTCTCTGACTCTGGAAGACCAGCATGACGTGGCACAGGGCCAAGTGATTGGGCTTCAGGGCACTCCGCAACATCCCCAGCAATCAGCAGGAAACAACGGGATCAATAACAAAGATTTTCTTGTAGCTGTAAAAGTATTTTATGGCATTCCCTATTTTCAGGTGGCGAGGGTGCTTCTGGATGGAGATCGCCCCATGTGCACCATTCTTTATAAATCAGAAGGCTTTGTTTGCGAGGGTCTCAAGTACGAACTCCCCCGAAGTACTGAGTCGAAACACAATGAAAAAATAAACACAATTTTAGAACACTTGACGGGTGGTGTGGTTATAAAATATGAATCGGGGAACATTTTCATTGAAAGAAGATGTTTAATCAAAGTCTTCTTAACAGATGGCGTCCTAAAATCTACACCGCTACCTTTGAACAAAGGTCAAGAGCCAGCGATGGCAGAAGCCTTTAATTATGGCCAATTTTCAAATCAGTTACTGGCACACATCAACGACGGAAGTAAACCTCGTCCCAAAGCTGAGTTTACGTTGTCCGTTGGCCATGACATTATTCCAAACGATAGCGAACCTATGAGGAAAGTCTTAATGTATGTCGAGGTAACTCACGTGAAGGCAGCCAACGATCTGCATGCGTATGACAAATTAAAAAACAATAACCAATCATCGGAGCCAAAAATATCGATGCCTGATTCTATTGATAATATCATTGATTTTATTAACGAAATCAGTGTTGGTCAACCGATCGGACGTCCATGAAGAAGGCATTATGGCTGTGTTGTAAGGATTCCTGTCTTCAACACACTTGAAGTTACAGAAATACGAGAAGGACGTGGAAGAAGACTTCATAAGCTGTTTCGCCTAGGAAGATTCCTTAAGACAGTAAACCCAATACACTTTGCAGATTCCTAACCTTAAGACTGTAAACCCAATAAACAACGTATAGGCCAAAACATCAACTTAAAGGCTGTAATTGGAATGGTTACAGAGAGGAAAGCGTTTACTATATTTTCTTTAGTGCTTGTGAAACGTCGGCATCGTGCTTAGTTGACTGCTTCGCGCACTTGTTGCATCGAAATGAAAATATGTAATAACACGGTTTCTAAAAACAAAATGTGATGTATATTATTATTATTATTAGGTGTTTTTTTTTATAGCGCAGTACCCCTAGGGTTAGGCTCACTGCGCTTCACATAAAAATGAGCAATTATAGAAACGTATACATTTAAAAACAGCAATTGGTGGAAGGCTTGACCTCGCCCACCCAAGCACTATCTACCCCTATCTAGCCGCGGAGAGCACCCAGCAGAATCGAGAGTTGTTGATCAGTCAGAGGGTGGTGACAATGAGTCGGTATAGTACAGTTTGAAGAGATGGGTCTTGAGGGCTAGTTTTGAAGGCTCTGATGGTCCTTACATTGCGGTGTGTAATGGGAGGGAAGTTCCAGGAACGACGAAAGGAGAGAAGCAAGTTCACTTATATCAGACAATGAAGGCGCTGGACAAGACTTGGATTGAGAAGTGTGCTTAGAGACCCGGATCCAGTCTGAAGTGGGCCCACTTGTCCGCCGGTGCGCGGTGATTACAAGTTTTGGAGGTACTTCAATTTTAATTCACCGCAAAAATTATTATTATTAACACTTCCAATGAAACAAATGTTCTTTTCAATAAAAACGTTTAATTCAACGCAGAAATTATTGTACGTTATCCATTATTTCACATTTCCATTAAAACACATCACACCTCCAATAAAACAAATGTTCTTTTGCATTAAAACACATTTACTTATTTTAAGGTCCTCCGCTGCTATGGTGGCCAAATTAGAACAATATCGTCTAGAATGGCGTTGAATACATTCAAACCATTTGCTTTAACACGTCGACGCAAAATGAACCCACGCTTATAAGAATCGAGCATATGTCTGTGTGTGTGCCATTGTTTCTCACTTCATTGTGAACTAATGCAGAAATTGTCAAAGAATTCATGGTGTCTACAGAAGCAGTTGTACTTACTAAACTGGATATAATTGCATAGACATAGAATAGCAGTGATGATATTTTTTTTGCGGTGAATTAATTTAAAATTGAAGTATCGTTTTGGAAGCATTTTGTTAGTCCATTGCTTAAATTTCAATCATTATATTGTTGCTGAAGTGAAAGAATTAAAAAATTAAACAAATTAAACTCTTATAAAAGTAGCCATTTCGTTATATTTCAGACCTGTCAAGCTTTAAAAATGTATATAAATGTTTGATAATTGGCTTTTGATTGATTTGTCCCCCCCCCCCCATAGCATTATCATTTTTTATTGCTTTTTTTTAATTAAACTCTTATAAAAGTAGCCATTTTGTTATATTTCAGACCTTTCAAGCTTTAAAAATGTATATAAATGTTTGATAATTGGCTTTTGATTGATTTGTCCCCCCCCCCCCATAGCATTATCATTTATTATTGCTTTTGTTTTAATATGTAAAAACAAATATTAAAAAGCTGCGAGTTTTATAATATTCATTTTAACTTGTTGGAATAATCAAAATTAATTTCCATAACTTATCGTTTTTTATATTTAATTTTTTACTACACTTATGAAGGAATTCTACTTTTTTTTTCTAGTGCTACTCTTCATTTTCTATACAACTGAAACAAATAGTGTTAATTTCGACATTGCTATACTTTGCCCAAAACCATCCCCTGTAACGTAATCAATGCTTTAAACAAAATCATCACCCTGCCATGTCATCAGTAGCACACAAGGAAGCCACCAACAATCAATCTACCATGTAACCAAGGCAACAACAACGAAAATCACGCTGCCATGTCATTAATGCCACCAGAACTGTCGCGTGGGCCTTGAAACCCCTGCTGCTGCAGGAGGCATCACATGTTTAAGGCGCCAAGAGGTGTGATGTAGACAACAACAAAAAAAAATAAATTACGTTGTATAGTAAAAATTTGATATGATGGCACTCGGTGAACCCACGAGCTGTCATAATGGCCGAGTATCATGCGAATCAAAAGTTTTACCTTTGTTGAGGGATGGAAGTCTGTGGCACGAGAGACTGCCTAACCTTGACGTAGACAACCGGCACGACAGACTGTCTAGCTCTGACGTAGACAACCGGCATGACAGACTATCTAACTCTGACGTAGACACCCCGCATGACAGACTGTTTAACTCTGACGTAGACAACCACCACGACAGACTGTCTAACTCTGACGTAGACAACCGGCACGACAGACTGTTTAACTCTGACGTAGACAACCGGCACGAGAGACTATCTAACTCTGACGTAGACACCCGGCACGAGAGACTGTCTAAATCTGACTTAGACAACCGGCACGACAGACTGTCTAACTCTGACGTAGACAACCGGCACGACAGACTGTTTAACTCTGACGTA